ATCTCTGTCGTCATGGCAATGAGAGGTTGTCCCTCTCCTTCTCAAGGGAATCAAGTATTGACTTGTACTTAGGAACACAAAGTACAGACAAGAAGTAGAATATACTGGACAGTATCGGTTGGAGTAAGGAATGACTCTCCTGTAATAGGAAATGTAATAAAATGGAAAATTCTCTCCTTTTCATTTCTGATTATAAACTTTCTACAAAGCATAAGGATATTAATATGCATTTTAAAATGTTTTAAAAACTTGGGATGATTTGGAGCCATTTTTCAGAATGAGCCAATTTTCTTATGCTGTACAGAAAGTTTGAGCTGATTCCAATCAAAATTAGATTTTTACAAATTTTTAAAGTTGCTAAAATTAGGCAGAACATAAAAGGACAAACATGTACATGTACATACACTGACTGTGTGTCCTAACCTTGTTGTATTGGTACCAAACACACAGCTGTACGAGAGACCAGAGGAGGTCGGGGAGGGGCAGGATGAAGAGCGGAATAACATACCTCAAGATACTTTGAGTCTCTGGGAATGTGTCGGGTAAATGAAATACATATTATCTATCAACACTCTAAATAGTGAGATACATGGAGATAAAGGATTACATGTACATGTACATATGTATATTTACTTTAAATTTCATACCAATGTTTATCAGCAAAGCTCTCATTAAATTCCTAAAATACAATAAAAACAATGAGATGTAATAATATTAGGTTCATTTGTTTAAATGGTCATAACTCAAAAATTTTAGTCAGAATTGGCTTCAACTTTTTTAATGTAACGAAAATTGGGAATGATTTCGGAACCATTTTTTTACAAAAAGGATGTACTATAGTCCATAGTTCTTTGTTACAGGCAGGGCTAACAGTAGGGTATGTGGGGTCCAGGACAAAAAATTTGATGGGGCCCCTACAGGTACAGGTATAGTCAGGTGGGCCTGACCCTTGCAAAGGAGGAGGGTCAGGACCAATCCAACACTCTTTGGTGTACACTTTTATGGCTTGGGTGGGGCTCAATGCTTGCATTTGGCTATTTTAAAATGTGCTGTATGGTGCTTCTTGGGCTGAAACATGATACAAGTCAGTTTCATTCAGGCTCTTTCTCTAGACTCAGTCATAAATAAACCATATGAAAGGTCCCATTTTGAGCAGTTCGATAGAACTAGGTCTAAATTGGCATAGATATTTCGTCACCATAAACACATAATGAGCTTCTATTTCTTCTTAAAATGACATATTAAGGTCCTTTGTATCTTCCAGTGTCTCTAGAAAAGTTCTTAGACATTGTCTTCACCTTGTTTTGCTGCTAGAAAGGTCCCATTCAAGCCCGTCATTTTCATTTTGACTTGTGATGACTCATGATACGTCACTGCACAAATCTTTGCAGTGCCACAAAAAAGAGTGTTGAATTGGTCCTGACTCTCCTCCTTCTTTTGTGAGGGTCAGGCCTGCCTGACTAGTATGGGTACAGGACATATCGTACATGTATTTCACAATTTGACTAAAATTCATGTACTAGATCTAGTATACATGTACAGGTACATTTAAACTACCTCATCTGTTATTTTGCTGTTATTAGTAACTCCATCATCAACTTTCTCTCTTCCCTGTCAGTCTGTCCCTGTCAGTCATGATCTGTCCCTTCCAATGCCGCCATATTGAGGGTTAATTGCCCCGCCCTAAACGAGCCCCTCCCTTGTTATTCCTTCCAAAGTTTGCATCCTGTTTATAGCTTGTTCTTTGATCAATGGCAACTAAAACCAGTTCTTGTTCCTCTTCTCTGAGTCTCTTCTCTTCTCCTTTGACTATTGGTAATGTTCATTAACTATCTATGTATCACTGAATATGATTTTAGAGCAACTTATTGATGTACTTAATCTGTTGAAGAGATGTGGTTTCCCTCAGAGGAGATGGAAGGAACTAGGACTGACACTAGGACTACTCATGGACTCACTGGACGCTATTTCAGAAAACTGCTCAAAAGTAGAAGATCGTTTTATTGAATGCATTGCCAGATGGTTGCGTAGAGCTGATAATGTTGACAGTAAAGGAGGAGCTACCTTTGACTCACTGTCAGATGCTCTTAAATCTATGAATGAGAATGCTGCAGCTGACAAGTTAGATCAAGAGAGTAAGTTAATATCACTGATTGTATTAGTATTGACTGTGTGTATGTGTGTAATCTATAGAACGTAAAGCTAAGGCTATTGATATATTCAACACTCATCATCCACTCCTCTCTCAGTCTCTCTCTGATCCTGTCAGTGTAGCTATTATGCTTCAAAGAGAGGGTGTCATAACAGGACAAGTATTGGCTAGTGTGGAATCAGCTAGTCCCTCTGTTCCTAATCAACGTGAAGTCCTGTTAGGTGCCATTATAGTAGCTATTGAAAGCAAGTATAGTTTACTACAAACATTTGCTAGTGTGTTGTGCAAGTTCACTGGCAATGTAAAACTAGGAACAGTTATACAAAGAGACTATGGTGAGCTAAAGTATAGAATTATTGTTAGTTTTATCTCAGTTTTGATTTTAGATACACAGTTCTCTACTGATGAATTTGTTAATATCGAAATGGAAGAAGGTATAATAATATTATTATATTTTATTATTTTATGTTAATTATTATTATTTTTAGATTCAAGCACTGGAACAATCACACCATCATCACCTCACACACCAACTGCACCACTAACAGGTATACCTCATTGATCTGCAGTAAAACAAATAATATTATAATTTATCCTTAGTTGAAATTCCTGTTCGAAAGAGTAAATCAAGAGAATTCAGTTCAATAAGAGCTTCACTTGCTAGAATGATATTTAAAGTGTCCAAAGCTATCACACAGAAATCTCCACCTCTATTTGACCTAAAGTCTCTCATTTGTCTCTTTAATTCTGATCTAAAAGGAAAGCTAGCTGAGTGCAATGATATATCCAGTGTAGTGCATGTGATTGAAGGAGAGTGTTCATTGACTGATATTGAACTGTTAGAAACTGTAGTTGAAGAATTTGAAGTCACTGAAGCTGAAAGATACATTGAACAATATAAGACGTCACTGGAAAAATCTTGTCACTCACTGTCAATTGATCTTTGCTTGAAAGAAAAGTTTGATGCTGTCAATACAAGTCCTTCTCTTAAATGTGAATCAGCAACTTTTGTCTTTGACTGGAGACCTGATGAGAAGAAATTGAAGGATATTACCGATATTCTTTCCAAGACGTCTGGTAAATTTGTAAAGATAAAGTATATTGATACTGGATACTCCATTGTGGTCACTTGCTCCTTCCCTCATTCTCTCACTGGAGCTCTCGTTATAAAATTGAGTGAGAATCTGGAATTATTAATAAAGAATGGTCTAATGAAGCTTACTGTTGGATACTGCACAATATGGAAGAAACAAAACATACAAATACATGTATATATACTGTCAGTAATTATCATTATATACTGTATTATAAAGAAAATACAGGAATCACTGGAAGAGGAGGTACAGGAGATAAAGGAACAACCTCATGATACAAAGGTATAATAATTTGTGTTTTATTATTTTATTAAACTAACTTAATAGGAAGAGAGTGTAGCAAGACTGGAGAAGAAAGAAACAGATGAAGGAGCAACACCTCAATCAGTAATTAATCAAGATATAATAATACATTAATGTAATGGTTGTGGATTAGTATTATTAATTGATGAATAATTATTATATCTCAGATATACTATCAACTGATACAAGTGTGACAATAATTAATAAACAATTTAAAAAAGAAATAAAAACAAACAAACAATTAGAAGAAACACTAACAAGTAAGTATAATAAAACTTTACTAATAATTATAATAATTGAAATACATGTAATGTAGAAATGAGAGTAAAGGAAATTCAACAGCATTTATCTTTGCCAAAAAGTACGAGTTCAGGTTAGAATTATCACTGAGTTAATAATAATTATTATTGTTATTATTATTTTAATTATTATTTGTTATTAATCAGCATCATACAAAATCAGAAGAGGAATGAGAATGGAAATAGAACAATTGCAATTATTATTAACAAATAAAACTGGTACTGAATCATAATGTATGTATTAGTGTATTATAATTATGCTATGATAGGTTTACTGGATCAGAATGAATCATTAATAGATATTAAGAGAGAAATAGTTGAACTACAAGAACAGATATCAGCAATGAGTGTACATATACTAAATAAAAGAGAAGAGAATGAAAAATATAGAAAAATAATAAGAAGTATGCGTCATTAAGTAATTGATATATTGTATCACTGGTATAATAGTGAATAAACCAACAGCAGAATCTGTTTTTATTGCTCGTTATGACTATCATGAAATGGGCAGTGATGAATTATCATTTAGTGAGGGAGAGCAGCTGGAGATAAATGAGAAGGAGGATTGTTTTTGGTGGAAAGGAAGATCCTTGGCATCTGGTGATAAGGGATTCATTCCTAGTAGTTGTGTTTACTCAATGTTGGAGTCATTTCAATTGTTAGAGTTTATACTGTCAGTGGAAGAAGTGTTCCTTCCTATTCTACAGAAGATAAGGAATAATTCATCTAGTAATGATGAGAAAGATTCTCTTTTCTTGGAGACTATTAATGATGATCCTATTATGATATCTGCACTGAGACAAGACAAGAAACAATATGATAAAGGTAATGTTTGTGATTATTGTGACAGTCAGTATATTAATTAGTCATGAACATGTACATATAAATTAATATGTGTACATGTATACTTAGAAATTGTGTATGAAGTTAATTCACTAATTTTTACTTCAAATTTTACTCTATACATAATTAGCAATACATTATAATGGGATACCTATACAGTGCTTGGACTCACCACAGTTGCTCTTACATTTATGCACTATTAACTTGAAAGCAATAAATTGTGGTTTTGATTTCTATCATGCAGCATAATAGAGATAAAGCCTGGACTACAATTGCTTGAATAGTGCATGTTTTGTGCCAACTCAAGTCAAAATAGCTATAAAATAGCTACCTATATTATGATGGCACAGATACTGTTGTCTTGATAGATTTTATATACTTCAGGCAATATGTACAAGACAGCAAACAAGCAGCTAAAGATTTTTAATGCAAGCATGTAAAATTGCCAATAATAATAGAAGGGTGGTTTTTTGCCAATACAATGGCCTTGGCATGATCAACATGATGTGACTGAAGAAGCTTAAGTTTTTTTCTTCTCACGAATGACTTATGATAGAAAAGATGGCACAATGCTGTTGCCTAGATAGATGTGAGTGACTTAAAAAAGTTTAGTACCTCTAGCCTACCATATTTCTGCTCCAGCCCTTCTCAAAGCAGGCCGGCCTGAAGTTTGAAGGCTCATAAGTCACTAGCAAGTAAGAGTTAAGAAATTTTACACATAATTATTAATATCGAAAGTGTCAGCACATTTGCTGTATTTTTAAAATCATTTTTTCTTTGTATAAGCTTCTTCTCCCTGGTGCTGCTAGCTCTTTAATCATTATTAGATGATAAAGAAATCCTTTTGCCAGCTGTAGAGAAAGACTTATAAAGTAAAAAAGTATAAATTCCCTAGTGCCCCTACCCCTAGGTGCTAAAACCCCATTGAATGAATTATTTACGGTAGCCACCCACAATTAAAATTACTGACGGCATGAAGCTCTCTACATCAGTCAAAGGCAGATCAAAGCCCAAGGTGCCAAACTGAAGCATAGCAAGAAAACTATGCTGCAGCAAGAGTTACCTGGTCTATATGATGTAGTCTGGCCTCCATACTTTCCATAAATGCTGCTTGTAAGCCTGTAGTACCTTGTAGCGCTGTAAGCGCTCACAAAAATGGCCAGGTGGTGTCACCGCCTTTGATTTTCTTTTGATCTTTCTCTTGAGGCATTCTTGCTGCATCTATGCTTGCTGTCATTAATTTACATCGTGGGTGGATACCATATAGGAAAAAATTATTTATTATGAATGAATATTATTAATAATCTTAGCTCGTAGGGGGTCTATAAGCCTAGACTACTATAAGCCTAGAGTACACGGTTTTAAAGTTATATATTTTTAAAAAGACATTAAAAAGGGACAGAATGAATGACAGACAGACAACCAATTTACCTAATACCCGCCTACGCGGCGAGTCCAACAAAGACACACATTCACATAATATAGTCAGTTAGTGACAACTACTATATAGACCCTATATAGGGCATTGTAGTATCCTCCAATTATTATTATTATCTATAACTCACATAACACAAACACACACACACACACACACACACACCCCTGCATTACAATTATGATTGTTATCAAAAAATTACTTGTTGTATGATGATTGGACTGCGCTTTACAAGTTCAGTCCATTGTTTGGATTGTTGATGATACTTGCTTAAGAGATTTAGAGAATCTCCCAGTGATACTACAGGTGCTAACTTCTATAAGTAATTATAGATGCCGTATATAAGACTTTATTCGTAATCTTCCGCGTACTATCAACATTCTTTGATGAAAAAAATTTGAAATTCTCCTGCTGGATGGCAAAACCAGGCAAAACCAATGGACAGGAGGCCAAAAGCAGCCTTGATGGGTTGATAGGCAAGTCGCTTCAAGTGCAATAAAGATTTTTCTCAGGAGACATTCTAAGTTTATTCTTCACCATTACTCGCATTTATTGCCAGTCAGGCAAGCTCTGGAAACTATGATGGCCTCTTGTTCCTTGTTTCCCCATGTAGCTATAATGTATATTGCCATCCAAATTATGAGTGTGGGTGGATACATAATGCAATAATTACTTGCAGAAATTAGCACCCTATAGGGTCTATAGCTGTGTCTATATTTGTTTATGCAAGTTGTGTGTGTTTGTATATACACATGATGTGAATATGTGTATTATTATGTACATACATGAATCCTTTGGTTTATATTAGGAGTCACTGGGAGTGTCAACTGGCCACGGTACAGTGACATGGCATCCCTTAAATCTCCATCTCCAGTTCAGTGTATTGAAGTGATTAGTAATATCAATAAGAATCATAAGGAGATTACACTTGAAGACTCATCTACTAATAGTACAGTATCTCTACTATCATCAACTAGACTGCATACACTAAACCTGAGGAAACTTGTGATATGGTGGACTCCATTAACTAATGATTGTATCCAGTACTTGTGTACACTACTAACTATTAATAAAACAATACAAGAACTAAACATTAAGCATCACTCCATTAGTGATAGAGGAGTTAATAATATCTGTCAAGCACTTGAACACAACTCTACACTTACCTCATTAGATCTTTATCATAATCCTCTCATCACTTCTATTAGTGGACAGGCTCTTTCTCACCTCCTCCTCAATAACTCATCACTAGTTAAACTGGATTTAAAGGAAACTTCATTGTCTACTGAGTCAATACTACTCATCCTCCAGTCACTAATGGATAATAAGAAGATAACAGAACCCACACTAGACAAGCAACACAAAGAGACTTGTATTAATACTTATCCTAACTATCACCTCA